CCCCCCTCCACACGCCTGGCCTGTGCCTGTTAGATGTCAGACACAGGGTTTGTTTTTGGGTTTTTTTTTATACATAGAAAAACCACATTTTATACAAACATGTGAGCGCTGGAAGGCAGCAACGTCCACAGCTCTCGATTTATCATTAACCAGGTCCACCTGGAGTTCAGCAATAGACCATTGGGGTAAATTCCCTCTTTTAGCACGAAGCGCTCCTGCTCCCCAGCGTTCATCTGCTTCTTTGGGAAGTGCTGAAATTTTTTTAATTTTTTTTTTTTTTTTTTTCCACCAGCCCTGTTCTGCTTCAGTGCTGCTCCTGCACCTGCTGCCCCCAGCTTGCACGGACACCTCCGCAGCAGTCTGGCTTTTCTGTCAGCTCAGCCTGGCAGGGCTCAGATGCTGCTGACAGTTTCTTTACCTGCTCAAAGCCTTCCTGCAAACTCCTGTCCAAACGATCCTGCCAGCTTTGTACTTTTCACAGAGGCCACTGACATGAGCAATAATGAATTATTTTTTTTTTCTTTCCTTACTCCTTTCAGATATATTCTACATCTTATTTTCTCCTGTAATCAAGCCTCAGAGCCCTTTCTTCCCTCCTCCTGCTTACCACCACCTGATGTTTTCAGCAGCTCGTGTTCCTGGGCTGTAGTGCCACAGAGGAGGTGCTGGGGTAGCCCAGCACGGGCTCAAAGGTGGGCACGCTGCCTGGCACCCCAGCTCTGGAGGAGGTGGCTATAGGGTGTGGAGACAGAGTCCTGGACAGCGGCGTGGCCAGTTCCTCAGCGGTTGGGACCAGCGCTGTTTAACATTTTTGTTGGTGCCATAGACAGTGGGATTGAGTGAATCCTCAAATGACACCGAGCTGTGTGGTGCAGTGACACGCTGGAGGGAAGGGATGGGCCATCCAGAGGGACCTGGACAGGCTGGAGAGGTGGGACCTGCAAACCTCATGGAGGTCAACAAGGCCAAGGGCAAGGTCCTGCCCACGGGCTGAGGCAAGCCCAAGCACAAATCCAGGCTGGGCGAGGAGTGGAGTGAGAGCAGCCCCAAGGAGAAGGGCTTGGGGGTGTTAGTGGATAAAAACCTGTGAGCCAGCAAAGTGCACCCACAGCACAGAAAGCCAAGTGTCCTGGGCTGCACCCAGAGCAGGGTGGGCACAGGGCGAGGGGGGATTCTCCCTCATGAGACCCCCCCCTGCAAGGTTGGGCCCAGCTCTGGGGCACCAACAGCAGAAGGACACGGACCTGCTGGAGCGGGGCCAGAGGAGCCACGGAGATGCTGGGGGGGCTGGAGCACCCCCTGTGAGGACAGGCTGGGAGAGTTGGGGGGTTCAGCTGGGGAAGAGAAGGCTCCGGGGAGACCTTAGAGCGGCCCCCCAGGGCTGAAAGGGGCTGCGGGAACGGGGGGAGGGACTCTGGATCAGGGGTGTAGGGATAGGATAAGGGGTAACGGCTTTAATCTGAGACAGAGGAGAGCTTTAGGTGAGATCTAAGGAAGAATAGGAAATTGTCCACCTTCACCCCACATTTTGTACATCACCATTCCAGGAACCGTCTCCTCCCTCCGCACCAGAAGATGCTCGGCCATGGTGGAAGCTGCCAGGGGCTCGATGCCGTAGCTCCAGTTTCCAGTCTGCAGGAGACCTCTGAGCCCAGAGCAGGGCAGTCCCTGGTAATAGCGATCTGCTGGCACATGGGCTGTTCGGCCACGATTCCCTCTCGGGAGTCACAAGTGACTACAGGGAAGTTTTCTGTTACGAAGTCTTTCTGCCTGAGGTGAATTGCGTGATTTACCCCCGAATGCTGCTGATGTAGGACACTCTGCCCTAGCTGGCTTGCCCTGCCTCGGGGCCAAGTTTCCTTGGAAGAAGGATCTCGTAGGCTGCGTAGCCCAGGAGGGCTGGGGGCTGCAGCCTGCACAGGGCAGCAGGAGCCCCCGGAGCAGGACGGAGAGGCCCAGTCTGAGGAGGAGAACCCCTCTGCCCACTGGGTCAGTCTTGGAGCCATGGTCACTGCCTCCCAGCCTGGAGGAAAGAGAGGAAAACGTGGATGATGAGACACTAGAAAAGCTGCCTCTAACTCAGCAGCAAAGATCCCTCTCACCATCAAGGCACCTTCCCTCAGGGTCTGTCCTCTTCTCCCTGCTCAGCCTAAGGCCAGGCTCAAGCCACCTGCTCCCTTCATCCAAGGGGCTTTTTCTTCCCTCTTCCCCCACTGCCTGTTGACCAGAGAGGGGGGACACAGGGGGAGGCAGCCAGTCTGCAACCCGACTGTGACAGAGCAAAGCAGCGCAGGTGAGACCTGCCACGGGCTGGGACGTCGGGGGACAGAAGGGCCCGAGGGGTGACTGTTCCTCCAGCCCCACTTCAAACAAACATTCCAAACGTGGGACGCCCTGACAGCGGCGCAGGCAGGAGCCAGCAGCACATCAAACACGTCCCCTCTCATCGCTGAGCCCGCTGCACCCTGCTTGGGCTGACCCTGTTTGCAGAGAGTGTGACAAGCCAGCGCTGCTACAGCAATTTGTTTAAAAGGGGATTAAGTGTTGATAAGGGGAAAGCAATAGAAGATTACCAGGGAAACAATGATTTGGTTGCTAATGGGACCTTCAGCTGCAGCCCTGAGAGCCTTCATGGCTGTTGACAGATATCCTTGCTGGGCTCCTCGCTCAGCAGAGCACATCACAATGTTTTAACTGTTTGAGGGGATTTTTCTCCCTGGAAAGGGAGAGACATTCTTTAGACCACACATCCTTCTACGAGTAGGGGAGAGGCTTTTGTTGTGCCACTTCTGTGGAGTGGTTGCAGCTGGTCTGGCTGCCTTAAATACTCCCAGGATGCTTGGAAATTGGTCTCTCACTCCCCTTCCCAAGGACGTGGATGCTCAGACAGTCACTCCCTACCCAATGCATTACTAACTCCTCAAAAGTAACACGCAGATGGATGTTAACTCTTACAAAGAAGCTGGCCTGGGGCACACAGGCACTCACAGCTGCCCCACCGCCTCTTTTCAGTGCCACTTTTGCTCTGAAACACTGGCTGCTGTCAACAAGCCAGTCAAAATCAGGCCTGAGGATAATAAAAAAATTTCCAGATGCAGGAAGCACGGCTAAGAGGCAGGAGCAGCACCCCAGAGTGTTGTCAGCTCAAACAAAGGCCAACCTGTTTCTCAGCTACCCGGGTCTCCCACATTGCCAGTTCTGCCACAAGTCCCTGCAGGGCTCCTGCTTCAACCACCTTCAGCAAAGCACAGCACCCCACAAAGATCAGCACCCTAAGGACACTGGTTCCTAGTTCTTGCCCTGAAAAACACAGGTGGAGTTGTTATTTCCCATCAGGTCTATCACCAAAACGCAGAACTCATCCCTCTGCCCAAAGTGGTATGAGAAGAAAAATCCTTTAGACCTTGGCGGGGGGGTTAACTGGTAGCACTGGGCACGTACTGCTGCCATCTAATGGAAAGCAGTTTTTAAAAGAGGCAATTTCAGGTTGTTGCCAGGCAGAGCACACGGTTTTTTCAGGCTTTATCCAGCCTATCATACGTCAGTCATTCCTTCACCTCAAAGCCTCACAGCACTCCTGAAAAATTGTCACGGTCTGAGCTCAGACAGCTCCCCTGTTACAAAAAAAAAAAAACCCCACCCCGTCAGTCACTGAAACCAGGGCAAAAAAAATATAAAGCAAAGTGCTTATTCACATTTGTAAGGCAGGTGGGATGGAGGACTGCGCGTGGCAGGACAGGTCTGGGGGTGGCAGGTGAAGGGGGTGCTCCTCCCTCCCTTCTGTACCACAGGGACTTGGGAACCAAACAAAAGCAGCCAGTAACTTTTAAGTTTAGTAAAATCATTTATATACACCAATGCATAATATTTACAATATAATACTGATCCAAAATAAACTAAGGTGTTACAGGTAACACTGAAAAGGAGAAATAAAAACATTTTAATACACAGAAGTTAAAAACATGGCATGAGGACAGACTCAGATTTCCAAAAGAAAAACCTGAAGTAAATGACAGCAAAACTTCGACATGTTGCTATTTCCAATCGAAAACTCTCTCACCTAGTCCTTCTAACTTTTTAATACCTCTATATATAGCTTAGAATAATCAAGTCACAGGAGAAGTCAGCTATACATAAAATTTTGAAAAGATCAAATGATTTCAGATATTTCTCGCTTAAATAAAATTCTAAAAAAAAAAAAAATAAAAAATCTACAGAGCTCTTCCATATCCTTTTAGTGTTTGTACAAAGAGTATCTTCTTTGATCCCCCACACAACCCTTCCATCTCAAGATATTTACAATATTCACAGTCTGCTATAAAGGGTCAGTAGATTTATTACTAAGTAAAACCTTGTACTGTCAAGAAAAGGTATCTTGCAGTTAGGTCAACTGAAAAATAAAAAAAAAAAAACCAAACAGGAGGAAGAAAGTAAAAGACTTCTTTAAAATATGTAAATGAATTAATTGAAGTGTATTTAGTTTTGAAATCTAGACTGTAATTTTTTGAAGAGAGGGAAAAAAAAAAAAAATCAACTTTCTCATAGAAATAAAACCATTTGACCTTGAATCTTCAAATTGACTTTTCCTAATCTGTCCCTCCCTCCCTCCATTTTAGATCAGGCCATTCTTATTAATCACAGACAATAAAATCTATAGTAAATCCATTAAAAGCAGTTCCTTATCAGAAAAGCCCTTAGAAATTTGACTTCTCTCCAGACACCAAAACGCTTCACAGTCAGCCGCAAATGTACCCACCTCACTATCAGCAGCAGCTAGACGTTATTCTGTAAGTGAAGGGCCCGTGAAGAGAGGCGAGACCTTCAGACACACAGTCACGTCCCATTTTCTCTGCTTATTTCTGAGGTGCCGTGGATGTTGGTGAGCAGCAGCTTGCTCTCACCCCCCGAGGTGCTCCCCACTACACCAAACACCCCCCAGTGCTGCGGAAGCAGCCTAAAGCCTCCTACAGATCATCACACAACAGCACACAAGCCTTATTGCTGTCAGCTTTTAACACCTAACAGAGAGAAAAAAAAAAAAATAATAGACCCCCACATTGCTCCCAAGGTGCTTAGATCATCAGGCTGCGGCGTGGCAGTGATCTCTGCTGACTGCACTGGGTGTTGACCGTGGGAGCAGTTACAATTTGATCCATTTTTCTGTTAAGAGGTTCTGGCTCCTAAGAAACTGCCCGAGTATTCTCCTCCTCGGAGGGCAGAATTGCAAAGTGCTTTTGTAGGGAATTTTTTGCACTCTTCGTTCAAACAAAGGTGATTTCCAGGTTTATTTCTCTATTTGCCATATTCAAAAGTTCCAGTACAATGAGATTTCCCAGAAAACATGGATTTCAAGTGAAAAAGAAAACGATCTATTACATTTAAAGATTGTGTGGATGTTGACATAGCCTAGAATTTAGGGCAAGGACAGAAATGTGTGTAGTAAGGCCTGCAAGCTTGCTGCTCCTACCAAGAAACGACAAATACTCTTTGTCTCTTGCTAATTCTCTACAGTTGTCATCGATACACGTCAGTGCACGAACATCCCACGTAGTGTCAGAGGTACAATTGTGGCTTACAGAAAAACCTCCCCGTTTCCATCAGAGAAAGTGATGGTTAAGCAGGGACTGCGGTTCTTCCTCAGGCATTGGAAAACTGTCAACGGGATTAAGAGAAAGCTGACAAGGTGCTGACGAAGAATGGGAAATGAAGTATCTCCTTCATGTAGAAAAACGAAGTCACTGTTTACAAAAGTTTATAGAAAGAGTCAGACGCTGGTTTGCCATCCAAGCTAAAGGTTGTAAAGGAAGGCTGGTATAGAAAAAAGACAAAAACGAACGAGGCTGGACTGCCGTAAGAGTAAATTGGGAGATTCATGGCTCAGGTTTGTAAATGTAAACCCAAAACTAATGAGCTATGAACTGTAACAAGAATGTTCAAGAGACATTACTAATAGCCCTGAATTGGCACTTCAGTCTGCAGACCAAACTCATTCGACGTCTGCACAGGTTTAGTACCAAAATATCTCTATAAAAAGCCTTCGACCGGTCTCAAAAGAAAGAAAAGCATCAGAAGGTAGAAAACTAGAAATATGTACAGATTCTTCTCATTTGTTTGTTTAATTAAGATTAAAAAAGCAGCTTTTGGAGCCAATGTTCCAGACTAGTGTAAGAATCTGCCCTGGGCGGCCTCGTGGTCCAGGCAGAGTAAGGACGTGTGTCGAGGAGCAGCCCTGCATCTGTCGCTCCCCCGGGAGGAGCTCGAAGGCATCGAAGAGATGGGGAGCTTGGACTCCAGAGGGTGACACAAGAGAAGGATCACCGGTGGATTCACACAGCAGCACTATGACCCTTGCCAGGATGATCTTTTTCAAACAAGAGGACAAGTTTGAAACCAAGTGTTGGATCTTCTAGAAAAGAAAGAACGGAGTAGACGGGTGGAACACACATAACTTCTGATCTGGGGGTGAGGCGAATGAACCCCACCCTTGTTTTTGTCCGTAGAAGATCCCACCATGAAAATAAAAGTAACTTGTACATAAGTAAGTAGAACATTCTTCTATTCTGCTGTTGAACAAGATGATAAAAAGAGGAGTCTTATGCTGAATGGCCAATTCAGCCTTAAAAAAGGTCTGAGGAAGATGGAGGGGGGGGGAAAAAAAAAAAAAAGAGGGCTAAGCCTTAAAGAAGGTACAAGGAAGATGAGGAAGAAGAAAAACAGAGGGCTACTGATCAGAACTGAAAAATACAGCAAGCACATGGCCTCAGGTGCCCTTGGCAAGGCCAAGCGTGGCTCTCTCGGGTCATCCCGGGCAACAAGAGGCTATTTAGGGGCCTCTACGGAGAGACTCGGAATTCAGGCGCAAATGGCAGCTACGAAGTTTGTGTTTCACAGCACTTGCTTCAAGTACTCACTGAGCAGGGTGTTGAGAAACTGGGGCTGTCTCGTTCACATACACAGTCATTGCAGCTGGCTGTACGTATAGCAGATGGAAGGCAGCTTCTGCAACTGGTTATTAAGAAAAAGAATGGTCTTTAACAATATAATTTCCCCCATCTGGGGGACTGATGATTAACAGTACGTAAGTGATCATATATACCTCAAGGAACTGAGTTTTAAAAAAATATTACAGTACCAATGATTTTTTTTTTTTTTTGGTATCTACAACTATACAGCATTTTCAAGCAGTATGGAAATTTAATGAAATAATTATGATTTATTAATTTACATAAAAATACTTTTTACAGTTAAAGAATAAATCTTAAATGGTAAAAAAAATAAGATTAAGAAGCTCCAGCTATTGAGAGTCATGGGAGTTTGTCTGCTCTTCGATAACTTGTTTTACTATTTCTGCCAGTTTTAGTCGATCCACTTTATCTGTGAATCCTCTGCCTGAAAGGAAAAGAACAGGCAGTCAGCTGGTGCCAGGCACGAGGAGGAAAGCAATCGTGGCTGGAGTCACACACGGACCGAACACAAACCAACGCTCCACACAGAAACTCAGGACAACATTTGCAAGGGAACCAAAACGAGTTACAATCTCTAGTTCCATTGAAAAAAAAATTGAGCATTTCTAAAAACCTAATTTAAAACCAGACAGATGAAAGGGGAAGAGGCACGACCAAGCCTTTGTGAACCTGGCTGACGCCCCTGGTTCCCTCCTATTCATCAGCATCTGCTCCTGGGGGCCGACACCTCCGTGTCCCCCCCCGTTTTGTCAAGGAGCCATCTGAACACTCCCAAGGCAGCTTTAATTCTGTCTCCTGTCCAAACCAAGCAGAGACAGAGATGAGGGCAGCAGCCTCCAGCACAAAGAGGGTCATAAACAGCTGGAAGGAAACCAGCTCAAGCTGTTTGTGAAGCGATGCTCCATTTGCGCCGTCACGTTCTCACACGACTCGGTGCCTCTGAAAACTTTACCCTGAACCTCAAACAGAAATTTGAAAGCAGAACTTTTAACCTCATTTCTAGAGCACCCACGCCGGCAGAAGGGCCGAAACAACGTCAAAACCCAAGAAATTTTGGTTTGATTTCCATGTAAGAAGGCGACTGCTGCCCCTCTTTCACCCGGCATTAGCACCATTCTCCAGGGAAGAGAAGGAATTCCTCACCGTTCCAGCTGAAGCTCTGAAGAGTGTCTCGCAGCAACTTACACTCTCGATTATACTTCCACGCCTCCTGCATCACTTCATTCAGCTTCTCATCTTCGTTCTCTCCTATTTTGGAGAACAAAGATAAACAGGTTTGGCATTCTGCCTCGCAGCAACACCCAGAGCTTTAGTAAACAGCATGTGCAGTTATTCCCCCCTTGCCTCGCTCAAACTAGGAAATGGGTTGGAAAGCAGACACTCCTCTTGGAAAGTGATTTGAACAGCTCTGCACGTCACTGTTGACACTAACGTTATGCATGCACCAAGATTACAGTCCAGAGACAACGTTTGCCTCTCGAGACTGACTAGGACAATAGGAGTTTTGTTTATCCTTCCTCTGACCACTGACACGGATTGATCTTGAGGCAAAAGTCAGCGTCTTGGATATTTAGAAATGTAACTTTCTTAAAAGTGGCAACCTTTACCAGCCTGTGGTAGAATGCACTGAGCAATCACATCTCTCAGCTTTTCCAGAGCCACGTTGGAATCGTTACTTCCATTCTCAGGGTCATGGATGTAAACGCCATCCTTTGGCTTAGTGCTGCAAAAGAACAAGGAGGAAACGATTACAGTTTGAATGCAACTCAAGCTCACAGAATCATCTCGGTTGGAAAAGACCTTGAAGATCACCTAGTCCAACCATTAACCTCACACAGACAGTTCCCAGCTACACCATAGTTACTCCTTGCATAATTGCACCAGTATAATGATCTCTTTCACTCTTTGGAAAGCTGGGACTGGGAGGTAGATTTAGCAGTAATTCTATGTCCTATACTATGAGACCCGTTTAAATATGAAGGAAAATAAATATTCCTTTAATTCATTCAGGTAAGGGTAATCCTAAAATGCATAATCCTATTTTTCAGGTAGGTAACTCAAACAAAGAGAGAGAGAGATTACCAGACTTTGTCAGTCAATGTCAGGGTCGAGAAAAAAAAAAACAAGCTTGGAATTCCTTCTCCCTGTTTGCCTTCTCTTACAAAAAAATGGGTCACATGTTGAGTGTGACTAGACTCCCTCTTGCCCTCACTGACATATTTTGGAAGACACACCGTATGGTGCAAGTATTACTTCACCCCAACCACCCGCTTCGGCATGAAGAGTGTCAACCAAATCAGAAATTCAGGAGCGTGCTTACAGCTGAATGAACCTGCAACCTGCCTAAAATCGTTCTGCCTACACTCTGATCTTTCAAAACCAGCTTTAGAGAGTTACCCCAGTAATTTCCTTTTGCGCAGGATTGGGTTGTTGACGGAGTGAAGGGGTTTGAGACTGACTTTGAGGTCTTGGATTCTCATGTTCGCAAGCTGTTCTGCATGAGCCTGTTGTATCCCTGCAACCATTGCCTGGAATGAAAAGAGTTGAATGGGGTGTTTTAATTAGCTTCTTTTTGAGTTAAAGAACAATATATGGACAACGTTAGCCATGGACAAAAAAAAAAAAAAAATATGCACCAAAATCCCATTTGTTTCAGAGAAACAAAACTCAGGTTTGCAAGAAATGACTACAACTGCAGTTGTTGACTGTGGGACAATATATCCCGACCTCACAGGGGCTAAAAAGGACAAAGGATCACCTCTGCTTCTCGTGTTCCTGAGCTTAAGAGCGCTGACCGAACTCCTCTTTGAGCAGAGTTTAAAGGAAGCAAGACGGGCTATTCATTTGCTGCTAATTAATGAGGTCACAGCTGTAGTCAGGTATAAAACATGGGGAAAAAAAAAAAATTATAAAAGACCTACAAAAGAGTCCTCAGGCATGTCTACTCCATAGTTTGTTCTCTACTTGTTAGCACATGGCTGCTCTTTCCATTAATTTTGGAACATCCTCTAGCCCCAATTTCAAACTGAACTGCTTCCATTTTCTTACAGAGATCTCAGGCTCATTAGGGCAGAAGGGGAGCTCTTTCTCTGCCTAACACCGTGTGAAAGAAAACGCTCCAACCATCCGAGAGCTACCCAGCTCTCCTGGGCAACATTCTTGATAAAACAAAATGTTGTTCAGACCTTGTCCATCATCAGCTGGGCAGAGGGTAGGATGTTATCAAGCGCCTCGGTGGAGTTGAGCCAGGGATGGTCCAGCACACCTTCAATGGTCAGTCGTTCCTCAGGCTTGACCTTCAGCAGCCTGTGAGAGAATCAATCAGTCCGTAACGAGCTCTTTGTTGATCTACAATGTGCTGCTCTGTCTGCCATCAGAGCATTTAGCGTCCTCTAAGCATCAGAGGGGCCATAAAAGAAACTCTTCCTAACGACTAGGACGCTAAGCTGACCCAAAAGCAGTCTGACTTTCCACCAGCTTCACCGACCCTTGCTGTGGTGACATTTTAATGCTATCACAGCTCTCCTTCAGTTCTATTCAGCAGCACAGCGTAAAGAAAGGCACTGAAGGCCGTTTTAGTAACACCCGTGCGCTGCCGAGCTCTAGACTCCCATCCTCCCAGATGGGAAATGATCTTCCAGATGAACTGGAAACGATCCAGACAGAGACCCTCTGGAAATGCACATCCAGAGCTCACCCACGTAATGCTCTAAACCCACACCAAGGACTCCAGGTGTGGTGAAGAAAGGCCAAGTGTCAAAGTCGGAAACCTGTTTGGGGAATTAACTGCTTTCACCACACAACTCCTTAGCCTTCCTCTCCATGCAAAAGCCTTACGTAATGGACACTTTGGCAGGCTACGGCACCTCAAAATAAGAAGGAACTTTATTCTGCAATCTCTGAAAACTCCATGGAGTTAAATTTTACTAGGATGAAACCCCCGAAAGAGATTTTGCAGATCAACCCGTGTTCTCATGGCAATCACAACTGTTTAATAAAAAAGTTTAAAATTTCACACAAAGTGCCGACAAGTTTCCCCAAGAGTCTGAATTAGAAACAGAATGACTTGATGAGTTCGTCGCACTTTCTTAGACAATACTCTAAATCAGCTTCCTGGCTGCAAAGCAGAATTGTTTAATGTACCAAGAAAGTGGAAATAACTTTTACAAAATGTCAGCAGGACCACGGGCTAGCTTATAAATTTCACTTGTAAGGCCACGCTGCCAAACAGGTCGTAAGCTCAGTTTTGATGCAAGACCCGAGACACAAGCATTCCCTTTCTGAAGGTTTTCAAAGTCCCAAGCTATTATCAAGCACGGCAGCTCACAAAGCTTGAGGTCAGAAATCAGCTCGACGTGCTTGAAAGGAAGCAGCTGCCTGAATGCAAAATATGACCTCCAGAAGCGAGACTCCATATGAATAGCAGTCTACATAAATAAAATGTAAACTTATCCAGAATTATATAAGGTCGGAATGTATTCCTGCACCGTAAACACTGATTCAGACTCACTGGCTGGAAAAGACGAGCAGGAGAGGGAGTGCTGATAACATTAGTGAGAGAATTAAGTGAAGCGAACTGAATCCAAGTCACAACATTCTGCGAGCTGAGTTTCATGGCCATTTTAAAAGACAATGAAACCTATTGACTGTGAAGCTTGTGAGTGAGAATAAAGAGCTGACCTTGGGCTAAACAGAAGTTTCACTGCAACACAATCTGCAGTTTATTTGGCGAAAGGTTGCGGGCTCTTCTGCACTGCTATAAACAGGTCCTGGCACCCTTTCCAAACAACCTAAAATCCTTGGAGATTTTACAGTACAGCAGACAGTGACAGTTTAAGATTATTTAATTGATTTTTTTTTTTCTATTTACGTTGCTTTTATCCTTCCAGTTCTTCTGGTGATATAAGCAAAGGCAGTAAAGTCCCTCTCACATTTTAAAAAATAAGCAAGGTCAAGACCTAATCAGTGCCACATTCTTGCTTTCAAACAGGACCACAGGATCAGAGTCTTTGAAATATTTGCAACTGAGAGACGTGCACTGCCTGAAAAAGTTTCCATTAGCATTTAGAATAAAATATCAAGGCAAAACCTTACCTCATAGTCTGACACCTTGTGACAGATCTTAACCTCCCTTCCCATGCCTCTCTCCCTTGTCCCTTTTTAGACCGTGTATTATGTGCACAGGGTTTTAAGGGACAGATTTACCAGATCCTATTACACCACCTAAATGTCCCCTGATTTTAACAGGAGTTTAAACATCACCACAGGGGATACGTGCCTAGAGAACACTTGCAGATGCAGCAGCCAGCTGCCTGTATTGTTCTGAAGCAAGGTCGTGTACCCATTCCCCTTAAAGACTAAATGCATGATGCACTCTAGCAACTCCAGAGACAGGAGACATCAAAAATTGAACACAACAGTTGGGAAGGGGGGGGGGGGGGGGGAAAAAAAAAAAAAAGAAAGAGGGAAAGAAAAATATTTACCAGACTTCATTTGCGCTGAATAAGACAGAAAATTTTTCAGCTGTATGTGCTGAAGACAATTCCCCCCGACTTTGGAATAAATAAGCCCTTTGTGATAACGCACTTTCACGTGATTTTCCAATTTCTTAATATAAGCAGAGAGCAATACAACATTTTCCTGAGCTGACTCACTTTCGCACAATGTCTTTCGCCATTTCTGAGATCTGGCTCCACTCTTCCTCTGGAAATTCAAAACTTCCTGTCATGATCTTTTTCCGCATGTCCTTTGGAATTGTCCGACTGTGGTGTTTGGAGTAAAACGGAGGGTATCCACACAGCATCACGTAAATAATGACACCCAGGGACCACAAGTCACAGCTCTGAAAGCAAGGAAATGATCACTTTGGGGCGCAATTCGCAGCAAGCAGTGGTGTAGCCATGTTAAAAGTTCTACGTGATTCCCTAAGAAAACTGGAACCCAGCTCAGCCTCCTCCTAAAGGTCCATCTGAGGACCTTCATGGATAAATAAGGCAAGTATGTATGCACAAAATAACTCCGTGCTGCCAAGCTAAACTGCTTCCAGTACCCAAAAGTAGCTTGTTTACAGAAAGCGTTCCTCTAGCTGTGCTCTGCAAGGGTAAATTGTGTGGAAACGGCCGGTGCGTCAGAGGCGTGAGGAAGCTGCACGTTTATTTACACCGCCCGGGATACTGGAGCCCTAGTCTCTCAACGTCAGAACATAAACCAGAATACAGTCATTTTTCAGAAGGTGAGACTAAAAAAAGAAACAGCATTGAACAAATGAGCTAGCAGAGATATTTAATCAGAGATGTCTGTAAGGAAAAAAACCCACACGTCCGGAAAGGCACGGAGATGAGGCAGCTCCGGAAAGGCAGGAGCAGCATTTCCCAGCTGCTTCTGCTGCATCCTCCTGCCACCCCAGCCTGGAGCCCCCTCCCTGCCCTCCCGCCGCTGCTGCTGCTGACGGGATCCGAAGGACTTCACCCAGGAGGTGGATCCAGCCAACAACCAGAAGCTGAAAGCCAGAGCCATTCCCCACCTGGATCCCTGCGTGTCCATGCAAGACACTGCTTGGGAAGAAGGGAAGAGCCCAGACCTCAGTTCATGCTTCTGCTGGAGCACATCCTTAAGGATGCAGCTCTGTTATCACCTGGTTACGGCAAGGTGCAGGCTAGGGCTGGTAGGACCTGCTCTGACCCTCGCCATCCACTCCCAATATTTCTTTTGGGCCAACACTAGCATTTGTACAGCTAATGACTGATTTTCACTAGCTTGGCTTCCAGCCCCACCTGTCCTCTTGCGGACTCCTGAAGGTTTATGCCAGCACAGGGATGGACAGGAACACACGGCCAGGCGTAAGCAGCCGCCTGAACTCCAGCCAGGTTCAGGTGACTGTGGAAAGACACACGAGGGCAGATTTGGGGAACCAGGCAGGTTCTGCGATGGGTTCACACAGACAGGAGTCTGCAGAGCTGCCAACTGAAGCAACCTCAGCACCACCCTCTCTGCCCCAGACTGTATGTTCCACCACCCACTCTAGGACAGCACAGTTTCAAACACAGAAACTCTGACTCCACCAACCGCTTTTTGACTGGATCAACACCAATCCAGGAAGGGGGAGTCAAAGATGAGACTGTTTCCTTCTGGAGGGAATACACTTAGATCAGCTCATACCGATCATTACATCAAGCCCTCGGCTTCTGGCTTTTACAAACCATGTGGATGCTGATAATGAAAGAAACCCCACGGAGTTACCTCACATACATATGGCTTAAACAACTTGCTGAAAAGCAAATTCAGATGGCTCTAGAAGTCTAAATTTTTATTTAGAGACCTAAATTCTCATCATTTTTCCACTGACCACAGAGAATTTCTAATTAAATCCATGGGACTTTAGGCATGTAAGTAGGAAACAGGTGTCCAAGTTCTTCGTGGACAAGGTTTCCCTGATTATTCAAGAGTCAACCCCTTCCAGCCATGACACACAGACACATATTTGACCCAATACACACACAACTTAATAAAAATACTCAAAGATGTGTGGTTTCCTCCAATTTAAATCTGTGGGATTGTGCTGCTGATCATGAAGGTGGATCACGGGCATTTCCACTCAGGCTCTGAACTGCTGTGGAAGGACAGTGTACCTGGGAGTTTATCACAGGCTATTTCAGAGAACTAGGCATATGCCAGATGCTGCTTTTGGGGTGAGTCACACTTGGCAAGGTAAGGACGAGGCTGCTTCTTTCAGCCGCCTTTCCAGTTAGTGCCACCGCGGCTGAAAGCAGCTCTGAGTGACCCCTCAATTCTTCAAATGAAACATGAAAACAGAATCCCTGTATCACATTCTAAATTTCGAAAGATCAAGGCAGTTGAACCTTCTTGGTACGTGAGTTAACAGCAGTTGCATCTGTTTTCAAGGTTCCTCTATTCTCTACAAGAGTATAACTCAAAATACTTTGCTTCAGGTGTCATAGCCAGGACTCTTTGGTTCATTAGAAGAAAAAAAAACAGCTGCCAAACTGTTACCAACACAAACAGGGAGCAATCATCCACATCCACACCACGTCCTGGGTGTCTCTGGAATGGCATCGACTGGAGAGGGCTACTAGCAGAGAATAAATCTGCTGCAATCCACAGAAGTGGAATTCCTGACCCTGCCCTGTGAGACTTTCCAAATTTATAAAAAAATCACCTTTCCCTGCGACAGAGTTGACATGAGAGAGGGCAGAAGAAACTCTGTATTGAAAAGACTATTGGTACCTGTCTGAGAAGTCTTTGGATAAGAAGTGCCTGGCTTCGATCATCCATCTGCTTCTCCAGCACGGAGAAGGGATAATCATAACCCTGAAGGAGGCTCATCTGTGATTGGGAAACGCATGTGGACTAATTCAGTGAAAGTTATCTCTGCCCATCTTTGCTTTAGGTCTCTGTGGAAGGCCACTGAAACACAACCCAATATATAAAACTATCCCCTCTAGCATGTGGTGGGTTAAACTTGAAGCTGGAATCGGTGTAGCTGCTTAGCACTGCAATCAGAAACCAACTCATTTGAATCTAAATCGACACTCGAAGAATACTCAGTGGTTCAAAGACTGCTAAGCCAGCAGGAGACAGTGATGATAATATGGAGGAAAATGTTTTGGAATGACTGAAAAGGAGCACAACCATTCAGGACACTTTCTGTCATAACTTTCCCAAGACTCTAGCAGCAGTTATTGCCCGTGGCTCCTGCTACAGACAACACAACACTGGTCATTTTGCAGAAGATCCCTGATACCAACGAGGTACCACCCCAGCTGCCTGAACAAGACAGCCTCAGTAGTGCTTTACACTTCCAGAAACCCCGGCTGACAGCAGAAAAGAGATTTCCTCCTGCGGAGGTGAAAGAACTTGCCAAGTGATCGATCACGCTCCAGCAGAACCATTCTACTCCCTCCAAAATCTCGTTAATATTTAGTGCTCCTTGAACAGTGTTTGTATATTTTCCCTTTAATTAGAGGATCAATTTAATGAACCAAACGTGCATTTCGTTATTAGCTCTATCAGAAAGAAAGCAGAGCCAGCAGAGCGTTTTAGTGTGTCACTAAGCTACCTGCACAGATCCCTGGTTCAACTGAATGAAACCCGGTCTGAACCGAATACATTTACAGGGAGAAACACCACTGCATACCTGGTCACTCCTGTTAGAAAAGCCAAAGAAACCACACTTCTGAGAAATCCAGCCCCAAGGATCCTACGTCCTTACAGCTGAAAACACACGTGTACACAAAAAAACAAGCAACGTGACGCGTCCCCGCTGCTTCCTGTAGGTCCTGCTTTTTACTCAGTGCGAGGTATTTGGCTAGTTAGATGTGTTCCTATCACAGAGATCTGAACAACTTTATTGCTCCTGGCCGTGTGTCATTTCAGAGCCACGTTTATTGCCTTAGGTGGTAAACCATGTCTATAAACTCCTTCTACAGAGGATACATCGGGGGGTGGGGTGCTCTAGAGATCTTGACTTGGGGACTATTTCAGAGCTTACCTTGTTATAAGTGTAAGGTGTTGGAGAGGTGGGGATAATACCAGACTTTTCTTTCTGATGCCGTCTTTGTGCCTCCAATACCTGTTGTCAGGAGAGGAGGGGTGGGGGGGGAAAAGAAAAGGCAAAATACATCTCATCTACAGACACCACAAACAGCAATGCCTATGCCAAAGATGCCTGATGCTTCTCCATTCGATGGACTTATTCCAGCTACTCAAGACGCTGCCAAATTCAAACTGTTCTTCCTAAGACAGACTGGAACTTTCTACATGAGGAAAATTTCAGCTAAAATATTTTGCTGCTTTGGATGAAAATTCTAGTTTTGCCTGAATTAAAGCATTTGCTCACATCTCTTTTGGTTAAAACCTCTAGCACCTCCATGCTTTGGAACTAGAACCTAAATCATGTTTGGAGGGTAACCCTAGCTCCAGACATGTCCCTTTTTGCCTCTCCCATGAACAAATCGCAGCAAATTTGTCCCTTGCTGATCAAATCTGGGTTTCTACAAAAATCTGGGTTTAAATACGCTCAGGAAAAGCTTTCTACAGGCTTGGTTTCACCCGTTTTATAAAGCCTGCCTGTAGCACACACGGCCCTTCACCAGCAGGCTCCCGCTGAGGAGGCGTTCTCAGGGCACTCGACTGTGGCCGCGTGCTCCGATCTCTGCAATGGCTCTTCCTAGTCATTAAAGGCTGCCGACGTGCCCAGTACTGCAATTAAGCATCTATCTGCAGTTTTCTTTTAATTTTCTTCAGGACTCCAGCACAAAGCACAAAAGGAAGGAAAGCAGGACTACAAAAAAACAGCCTGTCTGTAATTATAGATTATGTCTTAATGCACGCTGACGAGGGAGCCAAGGGTGAACAGGTAACCTCCTGGCACTGCCTTCTTTTTGAGCAATTGCCTTTCCAGAACCTTTTGGTTTCAGCAGAGTCCTTTTTAATGTTATCTTGAATGAGCCGCAGGCTGGAAGAAGGATTGCAAAGCAGAGATTCTTCCAAACCAACTGCTTTAACGCAGTTAAAGGCCAGTTGTCAAAATCCTGGAGTAGTCTCAGTGGTGGGAGTCGAGCCTGGGAGACTCAGGGGGCACCAGCACTCAACCAGCGGTAAGAACACAGTCTGGGAAATTTGCCTCGCGATCTTCTGCTGTAAACAACAGATCACCGTGGCACTCCATCCTGAAAGGCAGCTACTATACAGTTACTCAAGACTCCTGCCCCCAGAAGCCCTTAATAGGGCAGCAAAGGCTTTTAAAATGATGTGGTTATAGAGGCAAAGGCAACAAAGATGATGATTCCCCTTTAGCCTACAACTGTAATCATTTGTTACCTGAGGTGCTACGTAATACGGAGTGAACTGTGGTGTCATCAAGTCACCTTGGTCTACTTTGGCAAATCCAAAGTCACACAATTTAACAGGTGCATCCTGAAACAAGGAGAAGAAGCTTCATTACAAAAAAAATCTCATTGTATCAGCTTTTCTAACGCACATTCCTCACCTTGGACTCATCTTACCTTTGCCACACATACTCCTCTTTTATATTTATACCCTTGTCATTCCACAAAGCACCTAAAAGGTCATAAACTGATCTTTGCAACGATAATTTTTGTTTTCCTGGGTGCTCTGGCTCAAAAGCAGTCACCCTCTCAGATCTGGGAAGCACTATGCACATTGTAGGGGGGATCACTGCATGTGCAGGGTGGTTATAAGCCAGAGAAGAAAGAAACAGGCAAGTGCACGGATACATCCAAGCACCTGTACCGCAGGTTAGAACATCCCGAGGATGCCCAAGGAGGAAGTCTGGCAGAGCAGATCTTCTCTGCAAAGCAGGATTCTGTGTTGAGGTAGAAAACCTGACCCCTGTTTACCAGCACGGGCAGCCTGTACTCCAAGTAGATCAGAGCACAGGAAAGCACGAAGCCAAAAAAAATCATTCATTTTTGTCACCGAAATGTTGCATTAATGTCATTTTACAACTACTCCGGAAACCACCATTGAGCCATTTTACAGAATTCAGCAGTAAACGAAGAACACCAAGTCTTCATCTTACCAGAGAGTTATCCTTGAAGAGGAGATTCTCAGGCTTGAGGTCTCTATGTGCAATGTTTAGTGAGTGGCAATGCTGCAAAGCCAAAGCTATCTGAAAAAGGGCACAACAGATCAACCACAATTACAGAACTCCTCCTTTCGCCTGGACACTTATTTTAGCTTTAAAAAGGACATCGCCAACACAGCTTACACCCCAAACATTTTCACTTCACTTGGGTGCAATTTGGAGTTAAGACAAGCCCGGCTGTACCGCCCAAGAGTGCAGTAAAGCAACAATTGGGAATGAAACCCATAGCTTGCATTTCACTCAAAGCAAACAGAAAATAAAAGTTAAGTCGTACTGGGCTTCCCAACCACCTTAATTCGACTAACTCGGGGCATTATCAGCCCCCCAGAAGTGAATCAGATCATGACAGTGTCCTTCTATATGCTGTGCTAGAGGTCACTACACTTGCTTGCACGCTCTCCAGCAATTAGATTCTGTAATTACATGCTGTAATTACACGCTGTTTAACAGTCAACAGCAAGTTCTTGCTTCAGTATTTCAGTAAGTACCTTACTGCATTTGTTGCTGGCTTAAGAGTCAACATTCAGGCAGTTTTCTTTTTTAATTCTTGAGGGTACTGCCAGCAATTTACTCATTTCATGGGATACTCCACAGAAATGTATTACTCGAGTCTTTCACAGCTACTGCTGTGGTTTAGAAACCTGTAACCCAGTCAGGAAAGCTCTGCAGACTGTACATATGAAAGTGCAAGGCATTTAAAGAAAACCAAAGCATAAGTACTTGAATAGCTTTACTGAAACAAAAGTAAGGCAAAGACACAAAACCCTTATTTGAAAGTTTTCCTACTGGCTTCTGCAGGATCCTACCCACACACGGCACCCTGGGTGATGAGCTCAGTCCTTAGAAGACTGAAAATTACTGTGACAAGGAGAACTTCGGCGTTAACTTAGCTCAGAAACAAATATAAACGCATTCCCAGAGAAAACGAGGTAGCTCTGTGACAAGTTTTTAACTATTACCGGGTACAACGACCGAGACCCGTAGCTCAGTGATGAACCACCACTAGATGAAAGAGTTAAGACTTTTAACATTGCTTTCAAACTTCATTTTTATAAACGTTAAAGCAGAGTTACTTAGGACATGAATAACCCAAGTGTACACACAATCAGAATTCAATTCAAAGTATTAATTTTTGGCATAGTTTTAAAAGATTTTCCCCACGTGTTAATCTTGGAGACTGCCTTGCATTGTCAAAATCAAACAGTCCAAAGAACATGAAAACAAACTGTCAAAAATAATTCTGTACCTTCCACCTAATTTCTTTGTCGGATGAAACCAAATAGGTAACAGCACAATTAGCATTTCATTCAAAACAAGTCAAAGCACAAACCAGAAAAGTAAGATTAAATGATTTGGCCCTCTTTTGCCTCAGTACCCAACATTATCTGCCCAGCTGAGGGGAAGCGAGCGCTCAGGGTGCGGATTATTCATGAACAGTCGTGTCAATTTATGACAAACGCTGTAATATCTTGTCTCACATTTTCTTTCCTTTATTCACCGCGGTGATCACTGGAGTGGGAGCAAGACATTTACCGACTCGTATCTCCTGTAGAGCCTCTCACTTACAGATCGTGTATCTTTTGTTTGGAATGCAAGAAGCAAACGATGGCAACTCCAACCCTCGGCTTCACGCCGTGGTGCCAATTCCCATGCAGAACAACTCAGCCATTTCAAAAGCAAGATCCTTTTGCTGGTCCTCTGCTGCGGCTCCCTCAACAGGCTACCCCAACATACCACCTTTCCTGCAACCCTCCCACTGATCCAAGCGTTCTGACTGGGCACCACGTGGCATCCAACAGCTTGGAACTTGGAAGTTCGCCCCAGAACTGAGAGGAAGGGACACTGGGGATCCCCACACTGAATGCCATGGAGGGCCTTCTGCTTCATCATCCTGCCTACCCTAGTAGGATGTAAGCTAGTCACACCAGATGCACTGCTAAGCAACAAAGAGCCCAGTGGACACCATATCTAGTAATAAATACCATGGAGGCTTTAAAACACAACGTTCCGGAGTGAGTTGCGTAGAGAAATGGAGAGGGAAACATGACATCAGAGCAAACAGCACAGAAAACATGCACTATAGTGGTACATTCCTCTTGGTATCTTCCACGATAGGCAGGACTTCCATAAAACCAAACACAGAACCCAGCTTGAAAACCACCGGCCCAGGACACGCGTCTGTTACTATCTGCTACCCCCCTCAAGAGGCGAGAGAAACACCAAGTCTGTGTCATGGCCAAAGGCAATCCTCAAACTGGAGCTCAGGAGCCACGCGGGGTCTGGTGAGAGCCTGTGGACTGTCGGAGGTTACACTTTTAAAACAACAGCAAGGGATACGGCAGGAAGATTGCGCAAGAAAATTGGCGAAGGGTTCTGTAGACCGGGTTAGGAAAACCATTGCTAAGGACAGCGGAGACACCAGGGTCCCAACCCAGAAGAACTAGCCCACACCTTCAAATTCTTTGCTTCTCTTAAAACTTTGGCATTGTCAGGTTATAACAAAGCAGGCAATGATCATCGGATCAGAACTGAGGATTATTTTAGCTTGCTTTTTTCCCACCCCCCCACCCCAAGAAATTGTTAAATACTTTAGCCATTATCATTCATGGATTTGCTTATACATGGGTGTTAACTTGCCTGCTTTGTTACTTGGCTTGCTTGCTTCTCAGTAAAGTGCCGGTGCTGGCTGATTCTGTGAAATAGCTCTCCCCCTTCCATCATCTCCATTACAATTAGGAGCCGAGCCCTGTTCAAAAGCATTTCATTTTGTTATATTAAAAATAATCAAAAGATAACAGAATTGCTAAGCTAATAATGCATAACTTCATATCTACTGATGCAGGCCAAAAGAGAGACATATACTTGCTTCTCCTACAGTTGTTAGAGCTATTGTGGTTCCGTAATTTTGCCTTTAAGCATGTAAGCTGCAGGATTTTCTGGCTCCCTGCACAATCTGACTCACTGATTTTCAGCCAGGAACCTACAGTTTTGCTCTTCACGTTGGGCTCCCACATCCAGCTGGAACAAACACCACGGACATGTCTACAGGGATGCAGCCAGACAGATAGGTGCAAGCTCCACCAGCAAGCCGGGTCGGACCTGGAAGCCATTTAGACACAGCAGTGTATAACTCTGCCCTTCAAGGATAATACGGCAGGTAGAGACTTGAGCTGAACAGGCTGAACAGCTTCCAGGCTGGAGCTGGCTTTGAGCAGAGCACAGCCCTGTCCGCACCCATCCCTGCAGACGTGCCGATCGGCCTAGCTCTCTGCCTTGGTGCTGAAGAGGTTCACGGCAACTCAGAAGCAGAAGTTTGAGGAATTACTTTAACGCTTTTGAGTCTGGACACTCTACGGTACCTCATGATTTTAATCTAGAGTTGCCATAATGATGAAGGACAACGCATGGGAAGCGTGGAGATCAGGACTGCTAGATCCTCAAGAAACTACCTTCTAGTTCTTCTTGCCACAGAGCAAAATCAGGTCTATCAGAGACTAAGACAGGTCTCAGCTCTTTAATTCTCCCAACTGTAATTTTTTTTTTTTTTCCCCTCAACTAACATCCAATTAGAAGACGTTTTTATCCCAAGCGATATTAATGGTCTGCTTCATGTTTTGCTGTATTCATTTTAAGCAGGACAATGCACTGAGAGTTTACAGGGCAGAACCTATTATTTTTAGAGACGATTCTTTCTTCCTTTTTTTTTTTTTTTTTTTTTTCAAGACTGGCACTCTGAGTTTCCCAGTGGCTCACAGGCATCACCATCATGTGAAAGGATCTCACTTAGGATTCTAGGTAGCAACAAAAGTCACAGCTCTCCAATCCTGTTTTAACAGCGCTTTGAAAGCAGAAGGAGGCTCAAAGGTTACAATTCAGTTCAAGCTACTAAAGCAATATCAAAGCAGGACAGAAGCTAGAAGCTAATATACTCTCTTAGACAACGCAGGTATCACAGACTGAATCAATGAAAAACCTAAGAAATGACGATGTATTCAAAACCAGTAATGAAGGACGCAGATTCATTTAAATGTGCAAAGGTCTGAGCATCAAGAGGGGAAAAAGCAAGCATTGCTTAGTCTGAAATATAAATATCATATCGGGAACCCCCTATCAATACTCATTTTGGTCATACTGTGATTTAAAAAAAGCGAACTCCACTATACCTTGGCCTAAACATGGCAAACAAGCTGTGGGAATGAATCACCCTATGTAATCTTACCTTGGGCTGGATTCATGTGGGAACTGCACACTGTTAGCATAAACTTCAATAATTTGAACAATGTTTGGATGTGTTGCACACATCATGTGCAGACGTACCTTGAAGAGAAGGGAAGAAACGTTACTGTAGACAGTGACACGCACCCGACCAGCTCTGCTCCTCCCTCTGCCCCCAAGACTGCAGCACCAGCCTCAGCACCAGTCGCACCCCATTTCAAATTATTCCAAAAATAAGAAATGCCTACAAGCGTTTATATGAGCGACCAACAGCCATTAAATTACTTAAACTGAGACAAAAAGATCATATATTACCCACGTGTTTGTTACAGACCGCCGAACTGAACCCACCAGAGTTCCCACAGAAAGCCCAATCTTTGATTTCTTTGTGGTTTTAAAATAAATTTAAAAGCTAGAACTAGCTTTAAAGTAGCAATAGAGGTATGATTGAAACTGAAAAATTCATGAATAAAACATGAAACTCCATAATCTGGCTTCTTTTATGGCTTGATGATCTAGCACTCACAAGACGGGAAAAACTCATCTCCTGTTCTGACTTTCTGAAACAGGCACCAAAGGAATTTTCCCCAGTTTAAAGCTACCTGGACTGCTACATGAAGCCGAGGCTCTTTGTAAACAGATTATTTTTCCCTGGGAATTTTAAATGAGAATTTGCTCAGTAACGAGAAATGGAAGTTGCTTAAACCTTGAGGACAACTAACGCTTCTTTCACTTTCACAACTTGCACTGCCCATCATTTTCAACAAACTGAAGGTTTGGTACCTTGGCACGCTCTTGCCCGCCACAGCGATTCACAAATGGTATCAGTGAGCTTATTTAGTTTCTCATACACAGATAAACCAGAGTGCAACATGAAGCATTCTTGGCAATTCTTAAGAGTAGCGACATCCAAGAGCGAGATGTAGGGAAACAAAATCCATCCTAAACTATTCGTGTTACATTACGCAGGACGCAGGGAGAATTCCAGCTCTGAAATGCAGCTCTATAAATTAGAGTTGTACACATACAGCTAGCAGCTCCAGCAAACTCAGAGAGTTAGAACGACCCTCTGCTTCACCCACCACCTCATCCTATAGGAACTGAGCACAGCAAGGCTGGAGGATCACACCTAAGGAATCCTGCATACACGTGGTGGGGTGGGGTGTTTTTTTTTGTTTGTTTGTTTTTAATTTTAAACCATTGCAACAATTCACCAAAAGGGCGAGATTTTGCGACGTGTCAGAAGGCAGAGAGTATAAACAGGAACTATACCTCATTTCTAGCTTTTGGACGATCAAGAAGAATTTTCAGTGCAAAGCGTTCTTGAGAGGATTTTTTCACGCAGACTCTGGTATTACAGCAACAAAATTATTCAGTCAGCAAGAACGTTAAAGAGACACTTCAAGCAACTGATCTGTAGTTATGAGTTTGCTCTCCACATGGAATTAAGAGGAATGCCCACAATCTGGAATATACAGGGCACCCGTAAAGCCTCCGTTTTCAGCCTTCCACAACAATCACACAGGTTATGCAGAAACACCTCACGTAAAACCACATATTTTCAGCAATGCAGAAAAAGTACTTTAGAGCACTGGGTCACTGCAGACAAGCAGAAGGCAGTCTACACATTCAGCCTGAAGAGATGCTTTGGATGAAAAAACCCAAACCACACAGTGGCAGCCTGAACATCTCCAACGGAGGGTGTAGTCTGCAATAAATAAAGTGTTTGTGAATGGAAATCCTTGTTTTGGCAAGGCCACCGACTGTGCCGCACACGGGTTTGTTTTTTTTTTCTCTCTTTCCCCCATTTAACATAAACAATTGAACTGCGTCAGAGGGGAAGGGCCCACATATTAACGGGCAGCTAAAAGAATAAAGCACAAAGGGATATTTTAATAAAGATCAGAGGCAACACAGCAACACAAAACGGATGAGAAAGCCAGTTGCCTGGGCAGGAAGATAAATGGTGGCAAAAAGACAATCGCCCTGTCAAACGCCCAGCAACAGAGAGGCGCAGACATTTGTTTTCCGGCACTTGTGCACAAATTCCTGCTCCCAAGAGGGAAAGTGCTTGTTGAAAAGGGAACATATGTTTTGCTTTACAGAAAGCATCCAGTTCCTGCAGGGGTTAGAAATTCATGATGGGCAAGTCTGGTTTGAGATGCGGAGCTGACGGCACTATCTGCTTTGGCCTCACGTGATGATCTGAAAAAAAAATAGCTGGTAAAAATAGCTAATGGGCACGCAGGGCTGATGCCCCAAGTGATGACACCGTAGATGGGAGCAGCGACCTCTGCACCGCCCTGACACCAGTACCAAAAGGACAAAGGTGTTGGAGGAGCATTTTCTGCCACCACTGTGTCACAACCGACTCCCGTTCCCACTTTGCTTCAGGAACAGGGCAGTGAGACAGGAGAAGGCAGAGAGGTGGGAGAGTTTTTACATCAAACATACCCCGTAAAAGACAGTACCTTGCTTGCACAGCAGCTACGACCCACACGGAGTAGAGACATTTATTTATTTTAGAGTCTTCCACATAGCACGTGGCTCTGCTGTCAGCACGCTTAAAATACATCCTCACTTCTCCCCAGCTAATGAAACAAGCTGAGAATACACACAAATCCGCAGGTGTAGTGTCTTACCTAACAGGACCACTGATCCCAGCTCCCAGCTTCTGAGTCCAGTTAATGTTGTACTCCTCTAAAATGGAGGTTTCCTATTCAAGGAGCAGGGGGAGGGGAAAGAGAGTAAAAAAAAAAAAAAAAAAAAAATTTTACTACATCCCTTCAAAAAAAAAAACAAACAACAGCTCAGCAGACCTGATTCGCAAGATACCCGAGCAGAGAAAAAGCCTGCTTTGGAGTTTTGCTTCACCTAAGAAAATTAAACATAAATACAAATGCTAACAGAATAATAGATCTCAGCTTAAAATTATTTCTCTGCAGCTGAGACTGCTCATGCTGGCATTTTCCAACAGAATTATTGAGAACAGTAAATGGGATCTTGTGCCTTTAATACAGAAAGCTTCCCCCCCAACTCTTAAATCCAGCTTCCTACCTAGAAACGATCAATCACAAAGGACCAATTTCAGCATTATTATGTATTTTCTGGTCGTACAGTACAATGGAAAATGACTTTGCTGCTTCCTTAGGGTTTTCAAACCTTTGGATATGTTAATACTGTAAATTAAACCCTGCATGACTAGTTTTAGCTTGTCTTGATCATGAACCGGGCTCGTGTTTATAATTCTTTTGTCCACATCCATATAAAGCAGGGTTTGGTTTTGTTATGACACAGCCTGGGTGCTATCATGCTTAAACATGTCACAAGGCAGGATGCAGGACGGAGCCTCAGCACCGAGCATCGTGATTAACGCCCTGCCCTGTGCTGGGGCTCGGCGCTGGAAACGTTGTGGGCAAACTCCAGCCACCACGTAACGCACGCCATCAAAATTCTTCTACGTTGCTACCTGACGTTGAGGAACATCTTTCAAAAAGCCACGATTTCTGAGAAATTGCAAGAAAAGGAGTTGGTAACAAAAAGCTAGCACTGGAGAAGCTAAAACGCTTCCCCAAATGCGCTGAAAATAAACGGAAGAGTCCACTGCTGGCAAAGCAACTTTATTCTGATCGGATTTTTTTTTTTCCCCCCTCTCCCGTTAACTTCCATTCAAAACCTGCAGCATTTCAGGATTCACTCGTGCTACAAACTACGAGAAAACAGAGAACACTCGTGCTCTCAACTGGGGTATTGAAAATGGCAATCCCTTCCCTGGGATGCTGGCCTCTGCCTCGACAGTCGGGGATGGACGCGGCCAGGCTGGAGCCAGACCTCACGCCACATGGGTTGAAAACAAAGCAAGAGAGGAAAGCTGATACTCAAGGCAAGATTTGAAGGGATTAGAGGGTAAAAAAAGACAGATATGAAAAGAAAAACTGCCTTTTAACACAGTCTGGAGTGGGTATCACATAAATCATAAATAGCTAGCATGAAGGGTGTGAAGGAAGAAGTTAAAAGTTAACTGGAGATTTGATGAAGGGTTTTTAAAGAGAGGGGAAGAAAAGCACAGTGGATTGTACATGGTTTGTTGGTTTCAGGTAGAAGCACAAAGTTTTTCTTATTAATTTAACTGACATAAATTTCTCTCAGGAGAAGCGTATTAGGGAAAAGCCGATTTAAATTTTCCTGATATTCGGATACAGAACTGAAGGCATCACAGGTGGGATGAAAACACAATTTCGGAAGAGGTTTCTCTGAACTGAGGAGCACCTCCTCAGCACGTGCTTTCAAGCTCACACTTCGTGTCTTAAGTTGTGAAGGCAAACCACTGAAACGCAGAAGCAGACGCCAAAGTACTCTGGAGCGACAGCGTGATTAAGCGACCACAATTCTTTGGTATTTTTATACTGCTTTGAAGTCTGCTGCTCCTGTTCCAAAACCCTGCCTGCCCCAGAACTTACCTAACCCTTTCAACTGCACAGGTTGGTCTAAAAAGAGTTACTCCACGTACAAGCCCACTCTTGACTAAACAGCTTCTGCTACCTGCTGCCGCTTCTCTGATGGCACGGAGACCATTTGCTTCATTTCAGCTGAGCAAGTGGAAGAGGAGTTGATCAGGAATTGGGAAGTTTGTGATTTATGAGCCAAATGAAACGAGAATAAGATCTGATGGCTCTCAACTCCTGAAGGACAAGTTCAACAACTATAAGTAAATCAATTTTTAATAAAAATTAATTTCCTCTTTTGTATTCTGTGTATTTACCATGGCTTTAACTAAAAAAGCCAATATTTTTTGTTTTCTGCATTTGTATCTGGATTCCAATCTTCATTACCAAGTAGTTGTACAATTTAGAAATAAAAATGAATAATTTAGTGATCTGGAAACACTGTTCACCATTTCTTAATGATACAAAATACAGCATCTGAGAACTCAGATGTCCATCGATGTACAGAATTACCGACATCTCCTAGTTCAAAAAACAGGAGCTCCACATCTGGTGCCAAGACGAGCTGCAAATCCACACAAATTCATAACATTCAAACAGCGTGAAATACTTAAAACGTACAGGTATAAAACTGCCCTCAGAAAAATATCCAAATCCAGTTCCACTGGCAAGCCTAAATGCCTCGCCTCTCCACCGAGGTTACTGTACTGCGGATGCCAGCAGCTGAGGGTACCGTATCCTGTACTTAGCTCCACATCTGGAGAATGAAACACCTGACAGCAGCACGGCTGCACGGGGCTGACTGAACTTGTAGACTGGCTGACGGGTCAGCCAGAACTAATCTGCTGTGGCTGGGAACAGAGGAGGCAGAAGAGCGGCGGGGAAAGCGCTTTCAAAAAAAAAATCTGCAGTGGTGCAATTTCCTACAGTAAAGCTTTTTGCTCCTACTGTTAAAGGAATGTTAAACTTCCGATCGCTCCTCACATTAATTTCTAGTGGGCGAAGGGAATAAATGAATGTGAAACGCATTCGGTTCCAAAAAAAAGTTTCAAGCAAACTGTAAGAGTTGAGTTCTCTTCGACAGCACAATTCCCTTTCAGCAAGCTCAGGGCACCTAAAACAACGGTTCAAGCATCCTCCCATGCAGAGTCAGCAGTCTGGGATGCTGACAGCCCGGAAAGGCAGGACTGAGACTTCTCCCAGCCGGATCTCCAACAAACTGCTTTCAGACAGGGTTAAGCAGGCAGCGGGACTGCTCGGGGGAAAGCTCAGGCACTTCTCAGTTTCCGCTGAATACCGACGGGAAAAGGTTTGAAATAAGGTACTTTAAGAATAATGCGTACTCACTACAGTCAGTTAAAAATATACAGACCGCTGCTTGGGCAAACTCCACGTATTCAACAAGTGAAATGCCAACAACACGTGTAACTCCACCTCCACTGCCCCAACGCTCAGCCTTTCAACTTTGGCTGGTTTGCCTTAAACAGAGCGGTCGCTATCTTGAATCACAGACCTTAAACCTGCAGATGCAGGCGAAAACCAATCATCAATCTTGAACAAAAATCAAGTATTTGAGTAGCAATCAGCATAATATATAAAAGTACTAAATTATGGTTTAGATTCAGACAATGCCTATAACCCGAAAGATTTGCCCAGAACCCCTCCAAACTGAGAGGGGCAGGAGGCAGATACAAGACTGTCCCTACACTTACACAACTGCTTTGGCTTCTTTGTTTTGTTTTTAACCCCCAAGAGCTTCGATGTAGACCTTTACCTTCACATGAAATACCACAGAAATACTTGAAAACCCTTTTCTGGAAACCTTCTGGACAGCTACTTCACCCGCACTGTGCCAAGGCTGATAACAAAGCAGGAACAGACAGCACACAATTCTGATACTTGATCTCATAGTTTAATTCCAATCTGGGTTGTGTGAGCACTGTGCTTAGACTTCCTTCTGCTTTGGGCTTTTTTACTTCAAAAGGCAAGACCCACATATTTTAAATCAACCCAGATTCCAACAGCACAAGGCTGTGTTGCTACTTCACTTGCATTGTTTTTTTTCCCCCCAACGATCTTTGTAAAGACAAATCCCACCTTGGCAGATAGCAGGGCTAAGGAAGGGTGGCAAACGCCAATGCACGGGATCTTTTCTCTACATCCTCAAGGAATTTGTTCATCTTATTAAAATTAGCATTTAGGAAGGCATCCAGAATCTGTGACAGCAAATGCTTTGCGCAAGGTAAAGAACCCGCAGACAGTCTTTAAAACCTTGTTTTATTGTCACTGTATCTCAAAAGGGTTTCCCCAGCTTCTTCAGGAAATCCGCTCAGCCAGGTCACAGAAGGATTCACTGGGAAGCGCTAAGCTCACACAGATTCTCGCTGTAAAAAAAGAAATCCTGAATCTGTTCAGCTCTTCTACCACCACTCAAAACACAAACATCCCACACGCCAGATTTGTTTTCATGACAGCATCCGAACAGGAACTCGGAGATGGATCGAGGCGACAGCACTGGCTCTGCAGCCGGGGACTGCTGCGAGGCAGAGACCCCGGCTCCCCGCCGCCCCGAGCAGCCTCGGTTCTGCTCCCCACAGCCCGAACATCACAACTCCGATCCCCCACGGCCGGATCCTGTGGAAGCCGACTGCCTGCAGCTCCCATATTCCTGCCCGGTGTCTGGGGCTCCACACCGGAGCCCAGCGGGTGGCGAGGCCCCGGTGCCAGGGCAGCGAGGAGCAGAGCCGCAGGTGTAAGAGAAGGGGGGAGCGGGACCCGGCGGGCCCCAGGGCCCTGCCCAGGCTGTCCACCTCCCCCCGCAGGGCAGGGTACGATCGGAGGCCGGTGGCGGGGAGACCCGGAGCGCCGCTGCCTCCTGCCTACCTTGATCATCTTGTCCATCTCGTGATCCTCCGACATCCTCCCGCCTGTCTCTTATTCTTCTACAGAAACGTTTCT